TTCAGCTGTTTTCAGCTTCTGTTCTGGTTCAGCTGTTTTCAGCTTCTTGGTGCTAACGTCAATTTCCTTCGGCTCCTTTCAGCTTCTTTGCTTAATTCAGCATTTCTCTGCTAATTTCATGTTTTTTCAGCGTTTTCAGCTCCATTTTTAAGGCATGTTCTCTTTAGGCATGTTTAGCCTTTTTTCTGCTGTTTTTTGTCTAATTTCATCTTTTGTGATTCTTTCAAATAATTGTAACTTGACGCTTTTTTCAGCCTCTTTCTGCTAATTTTAGCTTTTTTGTAATTTATTCAGCTCTGCCTGTTTCAGCTTTTTCTACGTTTTTCTGCACTGTCAGGCGGGGGCATCTTTTAGTTTGACGTTTTCTTCGTGACGCTCAGGCTGAAGTTCTGTTCTCGTGTTTGAAATGAACTTTTAAGCGGACGATTCTTAACGTTGTGTTTAAGAGTGACGCTGTTGTTGGAGTGTTTCCTCCATTAACCGTCGCGAGGGATCAGTTCTTCCTGACGCCGTGTTCACGGTTCATGATGAGCGTTTCGTTGGTGTCACTTCCTGTCAGGATGGGCGGAGCTGTGAGCGCCGGCGAGGACAACGACGACCTGATTGACAACCTGAAGGAGGCGTACTACATCCGCTCGTACCTGGTGGAGCGAGCCTTCAGAGCCATCGACCGGGCCGACTATTACCTGGACGAGTACCGGGACAACGCTTACAAGGTGAGAGACGTCGGGGGATGTTTCAGGGGGCGGAGTTTAGAGGAGTTCTGATCCGCTCCGCATGTTCTCCTGTCGTCTGCAGGACCTGGCTTGGCGCCATGGAAACATCCACCTGTCGGCTCCGTGTATCTACTCCGAGGTGATGGAGGCTTTGGATCTCCACCCGGGTCTCTCCTTCCTCAACCTGGGAAGTGGGACCGGGTACCTCAGCACCATGGTCGGACTCATTCTGGGTAATCTTTGTTTCTACAGTTTTTGTGTAACTCATTACGAAGTAGTTTTGTTTTCTTGTTCCGCCTGTTTGGGTTGCTCAGTGTTCTGGTTCTTAAAGCTGCTCTGGTCTCGTTGCTCCAGGACCTTTTGGCGTGAACCACGGCGTAGAACTGCACACGGACGTGATCGAGTACGCCTACCAGAAGTTAGACTCCTTCATCAAAACCAGCGACAGTTTTGACAAGTAGGTCCAATAAAACGAGCCCAGTCCAACCCAGACGAGGTGTTAGCAGAACTCTGGTTTTCTGTCCGACTTTGAGTCTTGGACATGGTTCTGGAGGAGTTCTGGCCCACTATTCTTTCCATCGTTGCTTCAGATCATTGAGGGTTCTGCTCAGCTCTCTGAAGGTTCCACCACACAATTTGGTCAGGCTGAGGTTCTGTACTTTGGACCGTTGCAGCACCTCGGTTCTGTTCTTTTTGACCCGTTCTGTTGTAGATGAGCTGCTGTGTTTGGGATCATGGTTCTGTTGGACCCAGTTTGGTCCAAGCTTGAGCTGTTGGAAAGATGGACTCAAGTTTGAGTCCAGAACCCTTCGGTCTACAGGGCAGTTCCTGGCCCACTCTGTGACTGACATGAACCCAAACCATCTGCCCTCCACCACCGTGCTGACAGCTGATGAGCTGTTTGCTGCAGTGCATTCTGGGTAAACATATGTCCTTTGGTCTGGTTCTGTCCCAGAAGTTTTGAGGTTCCTTCAGATGAAACTTTCCTAATAAAAGTTGTGCTGCCATGTTTGTAGAGACATGAGGCTATCAAACAAGCCATGACCTTTGACCTGCTGAGGTCTGTAGAGTGATATTTCTCTCAGCATTGCACGGTCTGACCTTCAGGGTGAATCTACATTGACGTCCACCACTGGGAAGATCATCATCTGTCTTAAAACGTTTCCCACTCGTGAATAATCTTTCTGTAGAATGATGGTCTCCAAATGACCTTTGACCCTTCCCAGACTGATGAGCATCAACCAGTGCTTCTCTGAGATCCTTGCTGATGTCTTTCCACCCCGGTGTGTGATCACCTGTATGGTCCAGATCAGAGGTGTTGCCACTGATGAGGATTGGATAATCAATACGTTTGATCAGCAGCTCCAGGATGATCCTGAACCTCAGAGATCCTGTGGAAGCAGCGAGTCTGGGAGCATTTTTTAAAACGTATTCTTTTATTTATAAATAATGACTTTGTGTAATCTGTCGCATGTTGTATTTAACTCACTCGTTATAAACTAACGGTAGATGATTTTTATTTATTGTAAAACCTTCAGAGTTGAATGAATCTGTGCTCGTTTTGTTTCTCCTTCACCTCCTCAGGTTTGAGTTCTGCGAGCCGTCCTTCGTGGTGGGAAACTGCCTGGAGATCCCTCCAGAGAGCCGTCACTACGACAGGGTCTACTGTGGAGCCGGCGTGCAGAAAGAACACGAGGACCACATGAAGAACCTGCTGAAGGTGGGGGGCATCCTGGTGATGCCGCTGGAAGAAAAGGTGGGCGCACCTGGACTCTCTGGTCCTTCTGTTCGTGGATGGATTTAAAGAGGAAATATGTCATCGTGTTGTGTTTTCTGCAGCTGACGAAGATCACCCGCACTGGAGTGACCACCTGGGAGACCAAAAAGATCATCTCTGTGTCCTTCGCCCCTCTGGTTCTGCCCAAACACAACACGAATGGCAAACCCAAGGCGGTCCCGCTGCGTGGGTCTCATTTTAAGCTTTCCTCACTTTGTTAAAGAACCAGAAGCAAACGATAAGATTGGCTCTTTTAAGGCTGAGCAGCGGTCAGATGAAACCCTCCTGTGTTCGGGTGCAATGATTACCGTAATTTCCGGACTATAGAGTGCACCTAAATGGAAAAAAAAAAGTACATTTATAAACCGCAGGTGTTCACGTTGTAACTATAAACTGTAAACTAACACATGAAGAACACAAACTAACACATGAAGAACACAAACTAACACATGAAGA